TTTGTACAATAATGTATACTAGCAGAACAACTGGAGACCCCAAGGGTGTTATGATTTCCAATAATAGCATTGTTACTCTTGTGGCCGGAGTGAGGTGTTTCCTAGAGAGTGTGAATGAAGCTTGGCCTGTTATGAAGTGTTATTTCTTCCAATGATGCAACATATGTGGGGGCAACTAATTGATTTGTGTTGACATTTATGTCTTCTGATCATAGATTCATAGACATGATCCCTAGATAATATGTCTAGTTCATTTAGCGAATTCAACGTGTTTCACATGCATCCACACGTGCTGAGATGTTTCCTAAGTCATGTAAATAAGCTCCAATTCATTCTAGTATAAGTCAATTCATTTAAGTGAATAGATAATTTAGCATGGATATCAAATTCCCAATTCAGAATCCAAATTCAACTTTCTCCATCTAAAACACCCCTTAAACACATACGCACACATGCCCTCATAAACATGGATAGTCATATATACAAATAACAGCAATAATAGAGCTCGGATGAAACAATTCATTACAAATTTGATTCTATAGATTACACAAAGTGGATCAATTACGTAACTAAAACTCTAGAACCTGTATTCAGCTAAAGGAACCTTTTCAGGCCACTTTGGAACCTGTATAAAAAAATCAAAATCCAAGGAACCTATATGCAGAAATCAAACAACCCTGTTAGCCATTTAACATCATAGCCTCTATTTCTATGTTCAAGAATTGCAAACAATTTAATATTGACTGAATGTGACTTACCTTGCCATCATATTCTTTCTTGGTTCTGAATGTAGCACTGAGGACTGAGTGTTGGTATCTATTGTGAACTAGAGAAAAGATTCAGTGCTGGTATCTATTGTGAACCAGAGAAAAAAACAAACCCATAAACTCAATGCATGTGTGTGTGAGAGAGAGGGAGAAAGAGAATGACTCTGTGTATGAGCCTTTGTGAATGGGAGAAAGTTAGTGGCTATGCTTTTGTGTGCATGCGATCAAGAAGAGAGAGCTTGGGAGGGAGAACAAAGAGATTAGGACCTGATCAAACCACCATCACCCAAATCAAACCATCATTGCCCAAATCTTCTTCTTTCTGCCCCAAATCAAACCGTCATCGCCCAAACAAACCCAGAAACCAAATGGCTATGGGCTGGGCGCTTATCCTGCGTGCGAGAGAGAGAGAGAGATAGGATGGTGAAACAAAAAGAGGAGAGGGGAGGGGAGGGGATTTGGGGAAGGGACCTGCCCAGTTTAAGTCTATTTTGGCTTGGATTTGGGGAAGGGACCCGCTACCTGTCCGGGGTTTGGGGAAGTGACTTGCTGCCTAACTCGCCGTCTGTGTTGCCATGGAGCCGTTGATTGTCCGGGGATTTGGGGAAGTGACTCGCTTGAAAGAGAAAAGAGAGGACATATGGGTAGCAGGAAGCCATTGGTTTATGTTGGGCTAGGTTGGATGGGATGGTTTTGGAGGGGAAAATGTATGGGGTATAAATTTCAAGTTTCATCTTGTTTTATTATATAGATATATAAAATAATTATTAATTTATTATTATATTAAATTTATTTAAATGGGTAAACAAATGATAAACGGGTTGACATGTCTCACCCGAACACGACCCGTTTATTAAACGTGTTTGGTGGGTCAACCCGTTTTTCATCCAAACTCGTTAAAGTTTCACTCAAACCCGCTTAATTTGTGTTAGTTAATCGTGTCATATCAGATTTTGACAGGCCTAGTAGCGACGCTGTCATCAGTGCTTGGAGGCCTAATTCTATCCGAGAGGGTAAGGCTTGCACAATGCTTGAACCATAAATCATTCTACCACCTAATGCTCATCAAAACATACAGACTATCATCAATGCTCTTCCTGATGCAAATTTTGGTGGTGGGACTGAGTTTGGTCTCGAATCTCTGCTTCTTGAGAGGTTTTTTGCAGACTATGGAAAGAAATCAAAGCTTATGTTCACCATTTACCCATCCCCACAGGTCTCCACCACTGTAGTTGAGCCTTGCAACTCTATCATATTAGCACATTCTTGTCTTGAGCACACTAATGTTGCAATAATGCTTGACAATGATCTATATCTATGCTTTTTGACTTAGTACTCATTTTTGGCTTTGTCTTTGGAGGGTACTCTTACAGTAAGAGGGGGGTTGAAGAACAAACTGAGTGCGAAAGGTTGCAGAAATAGTGGCTTCACGAACTGGACTAGATCAAAAGTAATTTTACTGTCTAAGCTGCTACCACATGTAAATGTATGGAAGAATTATGTGTCTTGAATCCAATTTTTGCTATAATTTTTTAGATAAGCCACTTGAAATCACTTACAGCTACGGGGATGGGGCAAGCCATAGGTGAGTGATCTGGGTAAATGGCCATATTTGTGGTATCTTGTTACTCCCCCTCTCTCTTCTTTGTGTGTGTAGTATTTATTTATTTTTCTTATTTTTAACCTTTTTGTCTTGGCAATTCTACTGGTTTACTATCTCAGGTTGGGAAAGACGATTCCATAGGAGAGTTTCTTTGGGTTGTCTAGTAGCAACTTGCACCTAAGTCTTGTGAGATCCGAACAACTTCAATGGAGAATATGCTTTATGTGAAAAAAGATCTTATCATTTCTCATTTAAGATAATCTTATAGTCCCTCTTCAATTACATTTTTTAATCCATAACGGTGGATGTGGGCCAACTTGCTTCTTTTTTTTTTTTTTGTGGATAATGGACATTCAGCAACACAACTTTGGTGAGCTGTTGTTAACAAGGCCAAGGGGAAAAGTGGACCACAGGTAATGTTCAAATCTCTTCACTTGTATATTTTGTACAGAGTTCACATCAATTTTTTTCTCTTTTGCTTGAGACTTTAAAAGGTGAAATCTACATATTCTCTCCATTTTACCACTATGTTGGCAAGAACCTCATTTACAAAATAGAAGGTTCTCTGGATAATTTAATTGGGTATGTGGTCTAGAGTCTATAACCATATTAAGTTCTTGTAAAATTTGGAGGTGTAGTAAGAACATTTTTTTGCCTTATGTTGATATATACCCACTTTTACTTTATCTTTGATAAATGATAGCTTGTAAAAATTTATATATTAGCTTACGAGAATATGAAAATAGTGTTGTCTGGCTATTATAAATTCCTTCTATTGATCTTAAAGATAAATGCTTAGCACTTCCAAAGGAAAGGCTTTGTGATGTTAATTCTACAGACGCTTAGATGTTAAGCTTTAGTGCTTTTTTATCCATTTCACGAAATCAATAATTTTTTAAATTACACTATTAGTAGTTAGGTTGATTCTTTATTTTGTAGTTTTGAAGAAATGGAGATATTAATTATTTGTAGTTCTCACAAAATAAATTAACTTGTGTTCTGAGTGTATTATTTAATTCCTTCACATTCAAATGTGTTGTTGGTTTGTCAAATTGGTTATGTACTTGCTTCCCAAACAAGTTCTTGAGGTTAGGGGTGCAACTCGGGCAAGTTGGGCGGGTTGGACAATCAACCCTAGGTATATAATCTTCAATCATAACTCTAACCCTCACCCTACCTCGAGTTGAAGAACTCAACCAGAGCACTGCCCGAGTTTAATTCGAGCGAGCTCGGGTTGAATTCGGGTTAATGATTTTAGGCTGATTTCGAATTACTTTACAGGTTTAATTCGGATTGAGTTCGGGTAGAACCCAAAATAGACTTGTTGTTCTAAACCTAATACATATATTACATAATATTCACATAAATTAACCACTAATAACTTCAACCAAGTTTTTAACATAAAAACCATAATCAAAACATAAAAACCATTGCCACCAGTCAACTGAGAGAGCGACAGAGAGAGGGGGGAATAATTACAAATTCATAAAACATAATCCATATATTTCATTCATAACCGCGCATGATTATTGATCATCTGCTTTCACACCAAAAATGAAAAATCAGTGCTCATGTTTTATATATATAATTTTTTTTTAATTTGTCGGGTTCGGGTTGAACCCGTGAATTCGAGGCCTTAACCCGAGCCCAACTCAAATTGAATTCTGGTTGGGATTTTTTGACTCAAGCCCAACCCAAGTATTAAAAACTCTTGCCCAAGCCCTAATTTTTTCGGGTTAGGCTCGGGTTGAAATCGGGTTGTCCAATCCAAATTGCACCCCTACTTGAGGTATTCAATTGCTAAAAAGATATTGCTGACATCAAACAAGTGAGTGAAACCTTGTACGACAACAACTGTAGGTTAACCTTAATCACTTGATTCTGATTATAGATAAACGATGTTCTTCTATTACGTGTGCAATTATGAAATTTTGATTAGTTGCACATCTCCACAATATTTTATCCTTTTTGCGTTTCAAAAGCTAAGGTCCATGGTGTTTACAAACTGTATTCCTGCTCATAACGTAAAATGCTCTAAGTTGTTATTATAGTATATCAAAGTTTAATTGTAGTCATTTAATTGGTTCACTTGTGATATTCTTCTATTTTAGACAGATTCTATGTTGGTATCATTATTTCTAACCAGGGAACACATTTTATGCCAATGTAATGGAGGTTGATGTTTCCAAAGCATAGATCAATGTTATCAGCTTTAAGCAATTGTGTGTATTACGATATTATCCTAATCCACGAGACTATCAGCAACAACTTTATATTTTTTTGCTAAATGTAAACATGTGGTTCGATTATGCCATGACCTTCATTTCTTTTCGATAAATGCGATGTTATTCATTATTCAAAGTTAAGATTTCAAGTCATTCAAATGTACTAATGGGTGTTGTTTGCGATTATATTTCTTTAGTAAAAGAATGGAGGCAATGAAAACATGATTAGAGGTTTGAGTTATAATTTTTTTTCTATATGCAAGTTGGATATTCGAAGGTGTTCCTTAAAATATAATTAAGGAGTATAATTTTATTTGTCGCCTGAAATGATTCATGTGTAACGCACATGTGCATCAACTAGCGAATTAAAAAAAACCCTGAAGAATATTCTTATATATGATTCTCTTACAAGCCAAGAAGGAAAGGCACAGTGGTGTATTTCAACCAGAGGCCTCCTTGAATAAAAGCGGCAGCAGTGTATCTCCAAGCCTCCCTTGGACCAAGGACACGGAACTTCGTAAATGATCTGGACCTTCTAATAGTCCTGGCGCCAGGACCCCGATTCGCGAACTCGTAAAAGTTACAACTGCTCTCAAAATGCTCACCCTGCCATGGGAACCAACCTTGTGGGTGTATCAAATCACCCAGCTCGCTCTGCATCACAACTGTGGTGGAAAACTGCTTCCATGGGCGGCCCAAGTAGTTTGCAATCTGGAACCTCACTGGAAAAAGTGCCCTTTCTGGGACGATCCTGCAGTTTTGGAGAACTAATCCAGTGACTTGACGATCTGTTTCTCTTCCATCTGCGGTTATGGTGTTCCACCTTTGGTCGGCACCTGGCCTCCTCACAATGATCTCACTGTTTTGGATCACGGCGCTGCCCTTCCCAAAGATGAAGTCTATGGTGCCAGAAATGACGCAGTTACGGTAGAATTGACGATGGGCCTGGTAGTACAGGGTATCTTGGTACCCTTCGATCCTGCAGTCGAAGATGGCGGCCATGTCGGATTGGACCCGGAGTGCCACAGCCTGCTGTCCCACCGGACCAGCGGTGTTCCTGAATCCCATTGACTTGGCAATGAACCCTTGTCCGACAGCCGCTGCATGATTATTAAAAAAACCAAATTAATGATGAAGTTACGATGATCAAGGAGTTTACGTTACTAGTAGTAATTAGTTTTCTGATCACCAACAGACAAATTAATTAAAAATAATTAACTTGTAAACCTGCGGGGTGTGACTAAACTTACCAAATGTGGCGGTATTCATGGTGGTGATTTTCATAACCCCAAAGTTTTTGTGTCCCGTGACGATGGTCCTAAGTGGCCCATCACCATACATGAATACGTTTTTCTGGTCATAAGTTACGGTGACAGATTCATCATAGATTCCAGCCTTAACATAGATCACGTATCGGCCTCGGAGGTTCTTGGGGTATGCAGCAAGCGCAGCTGAAATGGTCCTGTACTGTCCACTGCCATCCTTTGCAACGACCGCGTTGGGTCTTGCTCTTGATGCTGGGCGTGCAGCTAAGAGCTTGCGGTCTGCAGTTGAAAACCATGTTGGATAGCCGTCGTGGCCAATCTCGTTCACTTCAAGAAGACGGCGAGAATTGGGCTTGATGTTGATATTTGGGATGTTGAAAGCCTTGAGGATCTCAGAAGTCTGGGAAACAATAGACAATGCATTGCTGGTAAGCTGAGTGGCGTTAACCATGCCATCTTTAATGGCAGACTTGTACTCTGGGTTCTCAACCCCATCGAGGCATGATGTTTGGTAGCTGTAAACAGCGGACAACCAATTCATGAGCTCACTCACACGATCATTCAGGGTGTGCAATTCGCTATCACCCACCATTGAGAATGAAGCCTGAAGCTCATCGACTGCGTATTTTAACAACTCCTTACAGTCCTCCACTGCCATATGATTATATGGGTCCTTCTCCGCGTCTACGGATTGCTTGCTAGTCACTTCCTCTGATTTCTTGACCTCATTGATGGTGGCTTGGATGGCAGCCAAGATGTAGTCCTTGGTGGTTGCACTGGAATTCTTAGCGACAGGGCCAAGGCTCCTGGCGCAGGCATCCTTGAAGTCGGTAGATGCACAAATGGTGGTAACAGACTTCATTGAAGTGGATGTGTTCTCGCCATTCTTGGAGTCTTCATGGTGCTGCACTGCAACGATGCCAATGACGACACCAACCACAAGAATAAGGGATACCAAAGTAACCACGATTTTTCCTATCATTTTTCTTTCTCCTTGACAATGGCCCTTGGCCTGAGACAAAAGATGTTTTTAAGTGAAAAGGTCCGTTCAGGCCAGGAGGACGGAAATGGGAAAGAAAGAAAACGGAAGAAAGGAAAAACAGAGTGGGTAAAGGTATCCCTATTAATATTATTCCCTCCCCTTGGCCGCAGGAGGATGAATTAGATCATTAGCTTGTTGGGGAGCTCCTATGTATATATATACATCGAGTTTAATCTCTGTCAGCTGCATGTAATAAGGTTGCATGGCTGACCGATCTTTGAGCAGTACGTTATGGATTAGGACGACCGTTGAATCAACATGCGGCTGAGAACTCACGACGACGAAGCGAGACAATTATAGACATTGATTCAGTTAATTTGTTGCAAATGTCATCCTTACACGTCCTCTGTTCAACGAAAAAAGTTGAATTTTTTTTTTGTCCCAATCAGTTATTGTGTGTGTGTGTGTGTGTGGGGGGGGGGGGGGGGGGGTTACCTCCTTTACTAACTAATTCTTGTGTCTTCAAAGTCTTGTCTGTAAAGCTTAACATTATCAGAGAATTAAATTTGATAAACTACAACAGGTGTTATACATTGAAACTAGCTTGTTGACTTCACAAAATTTTGAGAAGGAAAAGGCTAAACTAACCACCCACAGCACACACACACCCCCCCAAAAAAAAACAAAAAAAAAAAAAGGGCCAAATGACTTGGTCTAATTTGGTGGCAAAATTTTAAATTTTAATTAAGTAAAACTAAGACTAAAAATATCATTATATCATCACCACATCATCTAGTACCTTTTTTTTTTTTGGTCCCGTTTCTAATCCGTATGAAAAAAATTATAAATTAAGTTGATGACATAGTTTAATATTCAATAACTCAGTTCCTTTTTAATAGCTAATAAATATTTGAAAAATGCTATTTGAACCAAATTTAAGGACCTAATCTAGGTACCTAATGATATACAATCATAGGATTGGTTATGAGCTTCATCTAACATTAGAATTCACAATTAATCCAACAATTACATTGAACACATCATTAAGTTCTCAAATAAAGTCTTATAGCATTAGAGACCTAAACAACGTATTTCTGGTCCTCGTTCTTATCTCCAAATCCCAAGAGGTGAAACTATTACCATAAAAGAAATAAAAAAGTTCTTAAATTGGCTTTTATGCTCCGTCTAGTAGGAATGATCGAAAGTAGGAGGGATGAAAAGTATAAGTAATACACTTTCTTTCTTTTGTATTTGATATGATGGATGAAAAGTAGAAATGATTCATTTTTTTATGTTTGGCATTGATGAAAAAAATAGAAAGATAAAAATAATATATATACATAATTGGATAAAGTTGTGCTACACAAATTGTTATCCAAATCTTATATCATAAGTGATGTGTCAAAATATCGTACATTGAATATTTGATGGAGTTAGTGTACCCCCACTAATTCAACCACTTGCATTAATTTAAAATATAAAATTTGGGCAGCATAACATTGCTCTACAGACCATGTCACTATCGTATATGTGTCATGTGTTTTAACAAACACAAATCAATCAAAAATACATCTAATTTTTTATTTGTTTTTTAAATAAAAAATAAACACACTAATATACAAACACACACATAGAGTGTTAACACATGATGTAATTCCACCAATTATTATGAGTTTGAGTTTAAATGTTTAATGTAAATAAGTAATTAGTTAAAGGTTACAAAAGTATCCAATGTGAATACCATTTTTCTTTCTTTTCCGCCCAATTTTAAAAGGATTAATTTTAGTGAGTTGAAAAAAAAAATTCATTCATCTATTTTTTCATCATTCCTTATCAAGTATGACGTTTTATCTATCCCTCTAACTTTTCATTTTTCTAACTTTTCATCTTTTTATTTTTCTATCATACCAAACGGAGCATTAATTTAGATTATATCTGTACTTGCCTTTCATTGCAATTGCCTTGAGGAAGCCCTAACAGTTTTACATGTGACAAAAAGTGCTATTAATGACGAATTAACTTTAAAGCAGCAAAAGGGGAGTATGAAAGGAGATTACTAGCTCAGTGCTTGCGTCAACTAAAATTATATCTTCATGATGAATCATGTAGTCATGAACCAGAATCGTTTGCCCCACCCATTAGTAAATATTTGGAAAAATTTCATCCACACTCCTTCGAATTAGGCCTAAATTCAATGACACCCCCTCAATTCTGAAACTTCACTGCAGTCTTCCTTCTTATTTCTACTTTCAAATCAAAGACACCCCACCCCCTTAACCATAATTTTTAACGGTGCTAGTGCAAAATATAGCGGTTTGCCTTTAAATTTTTGGAAAATGTCAAAACTACACTTTCTCAGGTAATGACGTATTTATCCTTTTCCTTTCTCAAATAACATTCAAGGCATCTCTTCTCACTCTCGTTTCAATCCATTCTTCTGGGTTGAGAGCTCCTGTGAAGGCCACGACGAATGCGAAGAAGTTGTTTGGATGTAAACATCTAAGTTTTGCTCTCTCTCTCTCTCTCTCTCTATCTCTCTCTCTCTCTCTCTCGTTTTCTCTGGACTGAACAAAGAAGAGATATGGCTCACCAAGGGATCCAGATCTACTTCCGCCAACCATTCCCACCCCTTGTTCTGTCTCCAAACCCACATGTTTTCCCTCTTTCAGAGTACAACATCTGTCTTTTTCTCTTGGTAGTGGTTGTAGTTGGATCAAAATTCTAATTTTTTTGGGTAATTTTTGACTATGAAGTGCTTGCTTAATTATACTTGGCATGAGAATTAGTTCTCGAAGTTCTTCTAAATGCAGGCAATGAGGGTAAAAACGAAGAAGCCCTAAAGCATGTTAAGGCCTTGACTGAATTGAGTCTTCACCCTGTTGGTTCTGATGCTCTTCATTCATCATAGCCATGTGCTAAAATTAATTAACAAAAAAATATGACAACCGAATGAAGAGCCAAAATTACATAATCATTAACTTTTTTTTAAAGAAATCAAAATTTATTTCAATTTTCAAAAAAAAAAAAGATCTCATAATTCACAAACCCACAATCTCAATATCACAATTCCACAATACTCAATATCACAATCCCACAAATACTAAATGTTTGCTACAGAATATGAAGATATTTTTGGAGGTCCAATTGTCATACCAAACTACCCAATTTGGCAGAGAAATTAAGGCAAATTTCAGAGAAAGAGAGGAAATATCGACTTACTGAAGTGTTTTAGTGGTCGCCTGAGTTGAAGGCTTGAAAGTTGAAGTTTCTCATCGATTGAGTCAGAGACATTGATTAAGTGAGAGAGAACGAGCTTCCCTGGGCTTCTGTTCTTCGCCTGAGAGCTGAGCGGTCGCCTGAGTGCTCACCTAAGTGATGAGTGATGGCGTGAGTGGTCACCTGAGTAGTGATCTGCGAAGTGCAAAAATGGGGCGGGAATCTGCGATTGATTTAGAGCAAAAATGGCTTAAAAAAGGATTTTATATATATATATATATATATATATATATATATATATATATATATATATATATATATATATATATATATATATATTTGAGAAAATAATCTCCCAAATTTGAACTTCCATGAAGCACCATCGACTCCCTCAAAATACCCTGAATATTGACAATTGAACGAAATTTCCATGAACTTTGGCCTCAAGTCCACCGCATAGGTTTCTCTCTGAAGTTTTGGTACAATTTCTTCATCATCAAATTGACTTCATCTTCCTCGATACTCATAAACATGGCTAGACATTTTGGGGAGAAAATTTCTAAAGTCGTGAGGCGCCTTAGGTTTCGCTAGTGATCGCCATAGGAAGAGAAACCCATTGTGGTGTTGTTGTAATTGGTGTTGTTCTACAGGTCTTCTTGCAATAGACAATTAACCATGGAATGCACAAAGACAACATAGGTTGGGTTAGGTTTAATAAATAGTTGGCGTTAACTAAACTAAATTATAGTTAGTAGTATAGGTTAAATAGGTATACATACAAAGTACGTATAAAATACTTAAGGTTATTTTTGTAAATCATTAATGTCATTAGCAAACAGGGGGTGACAGTGAAGTTTCAGAATCGAGAGGGGTATTATTGAACTTAGGCCTAACTAGAGGGGGTATGGATGACATTTTCTCCAAAAAAATAAGAGTAAAATGAGAAGTTAGTTATAAATTACAACTTTTTTGTATTTTTTTGTGTTTTTTTTTAAAAAAAAAGTTGGTTATTTGTGAGAAAATTTAAGCATGAAAAATTATATTTTTTCTATCATTTTCCTTTTCATACTAACTAAACACGTGAAAATTTCAAAAAATTTCTCTTTCTTGCATTTTCTACCATTTTCTCGTTAAACAAACGAACTCTTGAGATTTGTATTGTATTATACTTTATTATATAGACTAGTTATTGTCTATATCTGAAGACACAAAATAATAAAAAAAAATGGTCAACAATTAATATATTTGTATTCACATTTAAAATCAAATCACAAATATAGAAGAGAGAGAAATAAATTTAAGCACTAGTTATAATGAAGTGAGTGATGGTAGTGGTGACGAGGGGTGGTGGTAGTGGTGGTGAGGCGATAGGGGTGATGGTTGGACAATGGCAATGGTGATAGGGTGGTGGTGGTGGGGTAGAGGTGACGGTGGTGGGGGTGGGGGTAGTGGGGATAGTGGTGGTCGGGTGGTAGGGGTAGTGGGATGGCACCAATAGTAATGGCGACGGTGGTGATAGTAAAGGGTAGTGGTAGTTATTGTGATAAAGGTGGTGGTGGGATGACGACGGTGGTGGTAGGACAGTGACAGTTGTGGTAGGGTGATGGTGGGGTGGAGGTGACGGTAGTGATGGTGGTGGTGGGTGTAATAGGGATGGTGGTGGTCGGGTGACGACGATGGTGATGGTAGGGGTGGTATGGTAACGACAGCGATGGTGGTGGTAAGAGGTAGAGGGATGGTGGTAGTGGTGAGGTGATGGGTAGGGTGGTGACATTGGTGGTGGC